CTGGAGTGCACAGGCGAGGGGGTCTTGAAGACCCTCGTGTCAAACTTGAGTGTCAGGCCTGCAGTTGGTTTCACCATAGATAACCCTTGTTGCCCTGCAGCTGGGGTAACTGTTATTGTGTGTCTTGACCTTTTGCTCTTCCTCTTCCTTGTCTGAACTGAGTTCCCTTCTTGGGTAAAGGACGACCTTTATGTTTATTTTCTTCTTCCACTATCCTGTCGCTCACTTGCACAGGAGTCCCATCTTATCTGTGGTTTCACTTTCTGAGGTTTCAGTTATCAGAATGGGTTGCACCAGAAAGCACGAGCCTATACGAAGACTTCAGCAAGGGAGTCCCTATATATATAAGGGAAGAAACAGTTTATCATCTAGTCAGTACAATCTGTGATTTCAAGCATCCACTGTGGGTCTTGGATTGTATCCCTGCAAAAAGGCACTAGGGCAGGGGGCACTTCTGTATACTTCAAAATATGTACACGATGAAAACATACAGTGTTATCTCTCAATCTGAAAACAAAATCGCCATGACTTCTGGGCACTGTAGTCCTACCTGTGGACTGGCTGCCTGACTGTGGAGTGTCCTCGTATTGGACATTAAGGGACTGTCCTAAGATGGCGACTTCTCATTTGGCAGCCTGTGGCAGCTGAGTTTGAATTTGGTGGTGGCCATCGCGTGTTAGGGTAGCCATAGAGCTGCTCCCTCTCAGCCACAGCAGCAAGCACAGTTTCACTTGACCCATTTTACACCTGTTGTCTCCACCCAAGCACCACGGCTCCAGCTAGGAAGGGCGGCCGTCGGGTGGCCAAGACCAACTCGTTACAGAGCCAGAAGCTGACCTACTGTCTTAAGGATTTCAACCGTGAAGTGCAAATACTATGGAAGCCAATTCAGTCAGGCAGAACCTCTCCCAGAAGATTGATAAGCTGCATGACCAGGCCACTCAGCGGCTTCCTGAGGCACAGTGTGACATGAACTGGTAATGCACAGACTGTGCATTCGTAGCTGTTTCGTGAGTAATATACACAGTGCGTGTCTTGGGTATTTTAAAGTACGTGAGAGGGTTGTTTCAGCAGCTGATGGGATGCCAAATGTTTGACTTTTTATTATTCCAGCCCTTCAGATTTCCCCAGAATTGTCACCTTCTAGAGCGTGTGTCTTCCCAGTGCGTTCCGGAAATTCTGTATACCACTGCCGTGTTGCTCAGAAAACAACAGAGCTTTCAGTCAGTTCAGGTAACCTTAGAATCTGCGCTGATGCCTCAGAAAGAAAGAAAGGCCAGTACGGCTTTGACTTGGGTGGCAGTCTTATTTCTCCCTTGGTTTCACTTCCTTTTCCATTTTGGTGGCTTCCCATTTCATCCCGTAGCCTCCTCTCAGAGGCTGTCCCACCCCTCCGCCCCCCAGCTCCATTCTTCCCTCTCTGGCCCATTTGTGTCCTCAGAGGTCTGGCTGCTGCCACTGCACCTGCCTCAGGCCCAGTGTCACCTCGCCAGGGCTTCAGCCAGCCTGGTTCCAGCTGCCACCCAGCAGCTCAGCTCAGCAGAACCTTCTGGCCCAGACTTTCACTCCCAACTCCCACCCAGGGGCAAATGCAGAAGACTCTGCTGGTGCAGCCAACACGGAGTGGGGCCAAGGGGAAGAGGAAAAGCAACAGCTTCCTGTGCTTCCCAGCTCAGAGCATTGGTAAGAGTGGGTGGAATTTGGCATTCTGCTTCTACCATTTTGAATGAATTGGCCTGTTCTTTATACCATCACCCCTCCCTTCCAAATCATTCATTCTGGGGTGTGCAGCCCATTTCTGTCTGTTTTCTAATGATATGACCAGAGCTGCCATGTAAGCTTGTGCCCTGCACAAGGATAGATACTCCACTGGGGAACAAATGGGACCAAAATCCACTCTGTGTTCTGCTGGCCAAGCCAGGTGACCTGGCCTGGGCTGCGTCCTCCCAGAAGAAGGGTTCATTTTTCCAGTTTGCACATGTGCTATTTGTGGGTTAGCTGAGGCCCTGCTCACGTCTTCGGTTGGTTCACAAACCAGAAACAGAACAAATGGCCAGAGATTAGTGTTGTAATCAAACTAGATTTACAACCAAGGCACGCTGAGTGGCATTATGGGTTTTATCCTGTTGCATGGCAAGGCTTTCATGCATGGGCTGTGCTCAGTGTCCTTTTTACTCAGCCATGCCAGCCATGGGGAAGCAGGAGGGGAGCTTGTTGGAGAAGGCAGCCTTAGTGAGAGCCTTGGTGCATTCCCCTGAAGCCATAGTTGGGGGCTTCTCCCTCAGCAGGGGTCCCCACAGTCTGAGTGCTTTTCAGAAATCTTGGGTCCAAGGGACCCCAATGTTTTGTTTTTTTTTTTTTGTGGTAGAGCCTCACTCTGTCGCCCAGGCCAAAGTGCAATGGTGTAATCTCGGCTCACTGCAACCTCCGACTCCTGGGCTCAAGTAATACTCGTGCTTCAGCCTCCTGCCTAGTAGCTGGGACTACAGGTCCGCTCCACCAAGCCGGGCTAATTTTTGTATTTTTAGTAGAGATGAGGTTTTACCTTGTTGGCCAGGTTGGTCTCGAACTCCTGACCTCAAGTGATCCACCCGCCTCAGCCTCCCCAAGTGCTGGGATTACAGGTGTGAGCCACTTATGCCCAGCTGGTGCGACTCCAAATCTTCTGTCCAGACCCCGGGGTCTGAACTCATATTTAACTACTGAAAGGCATCAGCACTTGCCCTCTGGTTGAACTTGACCTTCTTACTGAGAACCAGCCAGGCAGGCATCAGATGCCTCAGGCTCCAGAGGAGAAGCTGGTGAGCAAATAGATCAGGAGCAACTGCTTTCACCATCAGGGATGAAAGTTGAAGGCCAAGAACACTTCCTTGTCCTGTGGTGCAGGGGTTGGGATGGAGGGGCAAGTCTCATAAATGGAAGAGAACTAAGTGTTGGGATTTAAAGGAAGGACATTTGCCGCCTGCCCCCAAATGCCCCCAAACCCTCCAAAATTCCACAGATTCCCTTGGCTTAACTCCTCTCACAGAGGTAAGCTAAGTTTCCTAATCTTGGTTTCCTAACTGCTAGATAATCCAGGGGAGCCAGAAAGTTTTGGTGGATTGAGGGAACCTACAGAGGTTGGGTAGAGATGTAGTAGGAGTTGAATTGTTCCCCCCCGAAAAAAATTCATGAAGTTGTAACCCCCAGTACCTCAGAATGTGGCCTTCTCTGGAAATAGGGTTGATGTAATTTGGGAAGGTGAGGTCATCCTGCAGTAGTAGGGTGGGCCCCTAATCCAGTATGACTGATGGCGTCATGAAAAGGGAACAGAGCCCTACAGTTTACACAGTGCTTTTATGCACATTTTTCTTATCCATTTCTGTAGGGTAGGCTTTAACATACCTGTTGATTTTACTCAAGTTTATTGCTTTTTTGGCCTACCATCTGTTAGCCTCACTTTTTCTAACTACAGGAACCCCTTCTGCCAAACATAGCATATTTTGGAAAATGACCCTACCCCATTCCAACATGTGCTTGTGTTGAGAGGCACCAGTCTTAATCCTCCTGCCCAGCCCTAGCCTAAAACAGTGTGTGTGCTGGTTGGGTTCTCCCTGTGAGTCCCCAGCTAATCTCATCTCTGCCCTTCCGTGCCCCAGGAGGCTGTACGCATCAGACTGCACTTCCAGAGCCCCCGGCCTCTGGTGGGGTTCGGCCATTGCAATGAGCATCCTCAAAAAAGACCAGAGAGCTGGAGGAGAGAGAGTTTGGGGCTTCATTCCCCAACCCACCTCACTACAGTCCCACCGGGGGCCACGATCACAGCTCTCACAAGGAGCATCCTCTGCCTGGGGAGCAGCTCTTGCTGAACTATGATAACAGTATTCTCTTTTACCCTTCACCTCTGGTGGAGGTAATGCTTCCCTCTGTGACACATCTCTGGACACTTCACCATCCCATACTGGTTTCCTCAGTCCTGATTATCCCCCTACAGATGCTGTCTTTGTTGAATTCATTTAAACCATATTGAGTGTACCATTTAGTTCTTGCCAGGACTGTTAGCTATGGCTTGTCTTAGAGGCTTATCCTGATGGTCTTGGTGATTAGGTCCAGAGGTGCCACATGATCTAACGCACATCAGAGTCCTCCTGTGACTTCCTTTTCCTTTTAATAACCAGAGCCGGGAGAGAGACGCCCATTCTTATAGGGTGGTGATGCGTGGAAGATATGAGCTTTGTATTAGCAGCCATGTCCCTACCTCATGGATAAAATCATTCACATCTTGGTTTTGATCTCTCAGGTCCCCACACTGCCCTGATTCCCACCTTTAAAATAGCATCCTACTTTGTGCTTGAGCCGGTTTACATAGGTTTCTGTTACCTGCAACCATTAAGAGATAGTTTTTCAGCTAGGAAATGGGAGAGTCAAAGCTCAGACTCCAGTCATCTGCCTCCAAAGCCTGTACTTTTGGCAGAGGCTCCATATTCATAACTGTGGCCAGATACCTCCCCTGCTATTGGCCACAACTGAGAAAACCCCTCCTACTCCTGTGAGGAAAGGCACCGTGTCTAGGTATTTCCTGTAGCATGATGCAGGGGTAATTCATTTTGAATAATAAGATCATACACAAAAAGTTCTGTATTAACTAAAAGTTGACCAATTGAATCGTATCTTTAAGGTATAAGAAGAGCTCTTTGCTGGAAGGAATCTTGTCATTAAGCCATTAGTAAAGCAGAGACCCTCTGTTTGTCCTGGTAAATCCAGATTTTCACTCCTACTGGTGGTGTGTGAGCTCTTTGTTAACTAAAAAATTTGTAAGAATTGCTCTACCTCCCAAAGAATTTCCCAGCTTATCATTGATGGAAGAATTTGCCTCAATGGATCCCCAAAAACAAGGTGCCCTTGGAGGTACTCCACTCTGTCAAGAAAAGGGGAACTGTCAAATCTTGTCAAGATGCTACCCAAAAGTAACCAGAGAAAGTTCATGGGGGGGCTCTAGCCATGAGATCACAACAGGCCAACTAAAGAGATGGCTTCAGGATAGGGTGGATGTAACCTAGATTAGAGGAGTTATGTACAGAAACAGTTGTTCAGGCAATGCAGGAACAAGGCCTCCTCTCTTTACCTGTTCTTTGTAGGGTGTCTTTCCCATAGGCTCTCCCTGTGAGCCCCGATCTCATCTCATCTCTGCCCTTCCGTGCCCCAGGAGGCTATACACATCAGACTGCACTTCCAGAGCCCCCGGCCTCTGGTTGGTTTTGGCCACTGCAATGAGCATCCTCAAAAAAGACCAGAGAGCTGGAGGAGAGAGAGGCTGGGGCTGTGGAATCTCTTTAGCCAGGCAATACATTCTTTTTCCAGCCAATTCTTTTGATATCGCAGCTCATGCTGATTGGCCTCCCATGCCCGCTTGACGGTGTGAGCCACATTATCTACAGCCAGCCAGGAGAGGCTGTCTTTATTGAAGATCAGGAAATCCTGCCCGTCATATGCATACTGCAGAAATCCTGTGGTGCTTCCATCCTCCAGCAGCTCACAGCCAATCATTCTCTGGTAAGTGTGAGACCCTGGAACACACATGCAAGCCCAGGGGGGTCCACACAGGGACAGAGGTGGACTCTCAAGTGCTGGGAGTGGGGGCATGGCTGGAAGCATCCTCTGGTCTACATTACCTCACCCCCCAGGCCTGCTGTGGCATTGCTGAGTCCCCAGGAGGTCCCTCTTGTGGAAGCCCACCTGACAGCAAGGTTGTTTTTTAAATTTTTTTTGGTGGTTGTTCAAATAGCTTTAGGGATACAAGTAGGTTTTGGTTGCATGGATGAATTGTGTAGTGGTGAAGTCTGGGCTTTTAGTGTATCTGCCGCCCGAATCGTGTATGTTGTACTCGGTAGGTGATTATTTTCACCCCTCACCCACCTTCCACCCTTACCCTTCCTGAGTCGCCAGTGTCCATTATACCACTCTGACAACAGGTATTTGTGAAGTACCTACTGCATGCCAAAGGAATGTGATGTGTAATAATTCCTGCCTTGGGAAGTTATCCTGTAATAGGAATGATTGATTGATAAACTGTGGCTATTTGAGTGCAGTGGAGGAGGGAGAGAGAGGCAGGAGCCAGAAATATCACTGAGAAAGTTAATGTCATTATGCATAAGCAAGCAAGTCACCAGGCCTGGCTACCAGGAAGTGAGACACAGAATGGGCAAATTTAGAATGGGAAAGGAGATGGGGATATTGGGAAGGGGGATGCGGCAGAAGATAAAGGGCTTCTGGGGGAGAGAGGAACAGTCCAGAAGATGCACAGGCAAATGGGAAGCTCTGAACTCCACCAACCGGATTTCCCAGGTTTTGCCAAAAGCCACAGCAGGTACAAGTCAGCATTGCTCATTGGAGGTCAGCCCAGGGCCCTCAGCGGGGTGGGGTGGGATGGGGGAAGCGCCCATCTCTGCCGCATGCACACCTGAGTGATTGTAGTGCCTCTGCAGGCGCTTCAGTTCCGCCTTGAACATCTGCTGCCAGCCCCTCAGCAGCTGAGTGTACCTCTCCCAGTGATCAGGCGCGAGGTTCTCTGCCATCCATGGGGCCCGTGGCTCCTTCTGCCGAGTGACACTGTCATATGTGGTAATAGGGTGTGAGTCCACATACCCAACTGAAATAAATTCAGGGACCCCATGGCCAGGATCCGAAACGCCCAGAAAATATCTCAGAGAGTGCGTCCCTGGGAAGGAAGCAAAGAAGGAAGACATGTAGGGTCCCAGACTATCCAGATTCTTCAACTGCATTCATTTAGCCCCACACGAGTGCTCCCTACTCAGCTATACCCAGGCCTCCAGGCCCCAGCTGCTGTTTCCGCTTACAGAACCACAGAACCCAGGAACCAGGGCCTGGACAAGAACAGAGCTCCAGCCCAGTGACTTGGAACCTTTCTTGTTCAGGTTTGCAAATGCAGGATGGAATTTTATAGGTAATCTCAACTCATAAGCAAAGTACAGAGCAAGCTTGTCCAACCCACGGCCCAGGATGGCTTTGAATGTGGCCAACACAGAATTTGTAAACGTTCTTAAAACATGAGGTTTTTTTGTGATTTTTTTTTTTTTTTTTTTTTTTTAGCTTATCAGCTATTGTTAGTGTATTTTATGTGTGGCCCATGACAATTCTTCTAATGTGGCCCAGGAAAACCAAAAGATTGGACACCCCTGGTATAGAGTGCTGCTCTGGTTATAGGGGGAATGGGGAAGACACAGGGGGAGCTATCCCTGCGGGAGCCCTCAAAAACTCTGAGGTCTTGAAAACCCTGATAATCCAGCCCTCTTGTTTTACCAGAGAAGTCTGTGGGTGGATAAATGAGGATCCCCACTCCACTTCTGTGTGCCCGTGTGAGAACACACACACAAACACGTGCGCATATACAGCAGCTCGGTCAGAACGAGATTCCTGTTAGGACTCAGGCCTAAGTGACTATCGGGCAGGTAGTGTCTATAGTGTGGAGATGTTGGACAAAGGGATGATTCATGTTCTGAATGGAACCATGTGAGATTTCTTCACACTACCCAGAATAGTGTGCAATTTAAAACTTATGAATTGTGTATTTCTGGAATTTTCCATTTAAATTTTTGGAATGCAGTTGACCACTGGTAGCTGAAACCATGGAAAGTAACAGCGAAGATAAGGGGCTACTACTGTTTGTACATTGTGGAATGGTTAGATCTAGCTTCCTAACAACTGTATTACCTCATATCATTCACATAGAGATGATTTTTTTTTTTTTTTTTTTTTGAGATGAAGTCTCTCTCTGTCACCCAGACTGGAGTGCAGTGGTGCAATCTCAACTCACTGCAACCTCCACCTCTTGGGTTCAAGCAATTCTGATGCCTCAACCTTCCAAGTAGCTGGGATTACAGGCGTGCCCCCCAACACCTGGCTAATTTTTGTATTTTTAGTAGAGATGGGGTTTCACCATGTTGGCCAGGATGGTCTTGAACTCCTGGCCTCAAGTGGTTCACCCGTCTTGGCCCCACAACATGCTGGGTTATAGGCATGAACCACCGTGCCTGTCCAAGATGGTCTTCCTTTAATGTCCAGCTGCCTGCACCCAACTGCCAGCCTTAAAAAAAAAAAAAAAAAAAGCTTATACTTCAAATAGTGAGGTCTTATTCTTGTGGGGCTCACATTGGTCTGCTGTATATAAACAGGATGCCATTCTCACCTGTTTATTTGCCAATTAATTAATGCTCACTGGGAAACTGTGCTCTCTGGTGTTGAATCCAGAACACAAAGAGAGTTTCGAGTAGAGTAGAATGATCCTTCAGCCCTGAGCAGCATTGCTATGAATCTCATGATGGAAGCGCATGCTCCGTAACACAGGGTGGAGGTCAAACTCCAAAACAGCTGCCTTCTGTAGTTATCATCTTTAAGGACAGACTCAGAGGCTCAGCCCCTTATTAGCCATGAAAACAATTACAGCTCACCCCAACATACATACATGGTAGCCATTTGGTGCAATGCATTTTGGATTTGGCCATTAGGACTGCATTTTCTCTGGGACGACCCTAAGGCACTTACCAGGGGGCAGACTGATGCTAACTTGTCATATGTCCTCCTCACCGCTGGTGACTTGCCTTTTGCAAATACCGAAGTTCTGAAAGGTATAGTGGCACCTTGGTCAGGTTGCTGCAATCTAGATAAATTTTGGAGTTCTTTATTATATTAAAGACTCTTTATTAATACAGATTGAGGGGAAGAGGAAGAAAGAAGCAGCTTGGTTTTTCTCTGCCATAAATGAACATGTTGGTGCTGTTTTCCTTCAGACATGCCCTTTGTGCAGAGCTGCCCTTCCCCAGGGCTGTGTGGGCGTTAACTGTGCTTAGACAGCGATTGTTCCAGCTGCCTGCCCTACTGCTTGGGTTTCACATGAACATTTCATGCAATGCACCTGGTTTGCCAACTGCGGCCAGACCTTTGTGCAAAATTGTATTTTACCACTTTTTAAAAGGTTATGAGCTGTCAAACCTGGAGGCCACTTGGTTATTCAGGGGGTGTTTGGAATAAGACCACCCGGCTTCGTTCTTTGCTGACCAAGGCCCTGTTCCCTGGCGTTTGTGGCAGCCCAGCGCTCCGCTCCAGCCAAGCTTTCCATCAGCCCTGGGGTGGGACCGAGTTCAGGGTTTTTTCCTGCTCTGCAGAAAGCAGATTTTAGCTGAGATCATCCTACTGAAGGACAACTGTGACCCTGCAGTTAAAGTCTGTTCTGGGAAAAGCAGATGTCTTCATCTTCAGGAAAGTAGAATATCTGTGCCCTGTCATCTGTGTGGGGCAAGGAGAGGACAGCCAGGTGTCCCGCTAATATGTTTTTGGAATTGCTTTTAGACTCCATGTGATTACTTCGTAACTGACACAGGCTGGGCTCCAGCTCTCAACAAACAGACTTCAGAGAATGCTGGGGGTGACGGGTGACCTAGAAGCCATCTAGGAAAGGGCCAGAGAAAGCAAGCTGAAACCGATTATGGGTTCTGTTTCTCTAGCTGAAACTATCCTTTCACCGGCTCATTTGTAATCAGAAATTAGTCTAATTCAAAGACAGAATGTGTAATATGTGACAAAAGTCAGCAGGAATAAACTATTATGTTTTTTCCAAGGATAAATAACCTTATGGTGTTTTCATGTTAAATAACTAGAAGATACAAACCAAAGAAGTAGGATCAAGAATTAGAATTACAAATCCCTGGGTGGTTTCCAGATGGTGCCTGACTCCTCGACATAAAGAGAGGAGGGCCAGAGCCCTAGTGCCATGGTTTACAACCGTGAGACACAGGTAAATTTGTGTTTCCTGTGTATGGCGGGTCTCCAGGTGTGGTGTGGGACCAGCAGTCGCATCTCTGCATGGAGGACTTGCTGGAAATGCAAGGCGAGGCCTGCAGTGTGTTTCACCATGCCCTCCTGGGGGTTCTGTTGCATGCTCTAGTTTGAGAACCACTGCTACATGGACTTTAGGTTACAGTAAAACAATAACCCCTGCAAAATGAAACATTATCCATGGCTTTGATTTTCATCATAATGTGAAATAAAATCTGATGACACTATAAACTTAAAACCCTAATCCCCCCACAGTACTGTGTAAAACAAAAAACTAGCCATCCTTAAAAGTAATATTTTTACACCATGAAGTCTCAGTTACTCTTGAGATCATATTACAACTATATGAAGAATATTGTTCAGCATTAAAGAAGTGGAGATGCCACGAGCCTTGGCCTGGGTGTTTTTTGTTTGTTAGTTGTTTCTTAGTTTTGTTTTTAGTTCTTTTCATACCTAAGCACAGCTCTGTTCTTTTCCTCCCACCCCCTCTAATAAAAGACATGTGCATCTGCCTGGGGTAGGAAAAGTTTGTAACTGCTGGAATATCTGAATTATCAATTATGCTTTCTCTGGCTGAGCAAGTTATATGAATTCTTAAACCCCCAAGTAGCCTGATATGGTTTGGCTGTGTCCACATTCAAATCTCAACTTGAATTGTATCTCCTAGAATTCCCACATGTTGTGGGAGAGACCCAGGGGAAGGTAATTGAATCATGGGGGCTGGTCTTTCCCATGCTATTCTCGTGATAGTGAATAAATCTCATGAGATCTGATGGGTTTTATCAGATTTCTGCTTGCTGATGGGTTTCCGATCAGATTTCTGCTTGGGCCCTCTCATTTCTCTCTGGTTGCTGCCATGTAAGAATGCCACCCTCCGGCCATGATCCTCCCCAGCCAGGAACTGTAAGTCCAACTAAACCTTCTTTTCCAGTCTCGGTATGTTCCTGTCAGCAGTGTAAAAATGGACTATACAGTAAATCATACCAGTAGAGGACATTGCTGAATAGACATCTAAAATGTGTGAAGTGACTTTGAACTGGGTAACAGACAGAGGTTGAACAGTTTAGATATGGGCTCAGAAGAAAATAGAAAATGGGAAAGTTTGGAACTCCTAGAGACTTGTGGAATGGCTTTTCCTGACCAAAAGCCTGATAGCCGATAAGGAACACAAGGTCCAGGCTGAGGTGGTCTCAGGTGAGATGAAGAACTCGTTGGGAACTGGGTGTGCAAAAGGTGACTCTTTTATGTTCTATACAAAGAGATTGCATGCATTTTATTCTGCCTTCTAGAGATTTGTGGAGCTTTGAACTTGAGAGAGATGATTTGAGGTATCTGGCATAAGAATTTCTGAAGCAGCAAAGCATTCATACTTGTGAATTGTAGGTATAAAAGCTGTTTGTTTGGAAAAGGAACAGAGCATAAAAAGTTCAGAAAATTTACAGCTTGATGATACAGTAGAAAAGAAAACTCCATTTTCTGGGGAGAAATTCAAGCCAGCTGCAGAAATTTGCCTAAGTAGCAAAGAGCCCACCGTTATCTCTGAAGACCTGCTGTGGAAATGGTCTCCAGCCAAGTGTCAGAGACCACAGCAACTCCTCCCATCACAAAGCTCTGTTCTTGAGGAAATGATTTAAGGGCTGGTGCCCAGGGTCCGTGCTGTGTGTGCAGCCTAGGACTTGGTGCCCCGTGTGTCCCAGCCACTCCAGCCGCGACTGAAAAGGGGACCAATGTGGCCAGCTTGGGCTGTGGCTTCAGAGGGCGGAAGCTCAAGCCTGGGCAGCATCCATGTGGTGTTGAATGTGTTGGGAACCTCCACCTCCAAATTCCCCTCTAGAAGATGCATGGAAATGCCTGGATGCCTAGGCAGAAGATTTGCTGCAGGCATGGGCTCTCATGGAGAACTCCTCTGCTGAGTAGTAGACGGGAAATGTGGGTTGATCTCAGAGCTTCCCTACTGGGGCACTCTGCCTAGTGGAGTTGTGGGAGAAGAGTGGCCACCCGGCCTCAGATCCCAGAATGGTAGATCTACGCATAGCCCACCAGTGAATCTGGGAAAAGCCACAGACACTCAATGCCAGCCTGGGTGAAGCAGCCAGGAGGGTGGGGAGACTCCAGCCAGGCAGAGCTGCTCGGGCACTATGGGAACTCTACCTCTGCTGCCAGCATGAGTTGGATGGAGATACAGAGTCAAAGAACACTATTTGGAGCTTTAAAATGAATGCCTCATGCTGGATTTTAGATCACAGGCCTTTTAGTTTGTTTTGCCAATTTCCCCATTTGAAATAATGAATTTACCTAATGCCTGTACTCATTGTATCTTAGGGAAGTAACTAGCTTGCTTTTGATTTTACAAGCCTACTGATGAAGGACTTTTGTTCTGTATAGGACTTTGACTGTAGACTTTAATAATGCTGAAATGAGTTAAGACTTTGGGGGAGACTTGTTGGGAAGGCATGATTGGTTTTGAAATGTGAAGACATGTGAGATTTGAAGGCACAGGGGTGGGAATGATACGGTTTGGCTGTGGCCCCCATTCAACTCTTTAACTTGGACCTGTATCTCCAGAATTTCCAAATGGTTTTGAGAGGACCCAGGGAGCAAATTGAATCATGGAGGTCAGTCTTTCCAGTGCTATATATATATCTTCACGATATATCTCTCATGATAGTGAAAAGTCTCACAAGATCCATGGGCTTTATTGTGGGGCTTCCCACTGCTGCTTCCTCATTTCTCTTGCGCCACGCACCTGCCATGATCATCCCCATCCATGTGGAGCTGTAAGTCAAATTAAAGCTCCTTTTCTTCCCAGTCTCAGGTATATCTTTTTCAGCAGCACAAAAATGGACTAATACATAACCATACTGTGTATGCAAAATATTACACAGCACAGAGTTTCAATGAGACAGTGAACTTGGGAGAACAGACCAGAACAGAAAGGAATGAGTCCTTCATTCCCCCCCTCACTGAAGTGCTGGCAAACAACAATATTGCCCAAGCAAATTGGTAGTTGAAAGAGCCTACCCTAAATTCTGTGGGGATGAGGTGATGAGGTGATGAGGCTACATAAGGTCCTTAAGGGCAGAGAGATCTTGATCATTCCATTTGCCATCATTATCCTCACTGATACTAATTTCTATGTGCCAGGCACTGTTCTAAGTACTGTGTACTAACACACAGAATTCTAAAAATGAGAAGTTTCCTCATCTGTTAAATCTGCAGGTAAGGAAATTGGGACACAGAAAAGTCATTTTCCAAAGGTCACACAGGTGGTGAGAGGCAGAGCTGCTTACTGTGACCCTAGTGCCTAGCACAGAAGGTGCCATATCAGAGCTTGCTAAGTCCTTAGCTTGATTTCTCCCAGACATAGTAGCTAGGGAGAAAAGGTGATGGCAAATAAACATACTGACCAGCCTCACCAGAGAAACGAGTGCTTAGAGAGTTAAGGTTATACGTATCCTCTAATAAAGGCAGATCATCTCCCCGACCCGATGGACTGTCGCTTTGGCAGAGGGAGACAGTTTGCATCTGCAAGCCTGAGGGGTCCAGTTCCACAGGTGGACAGTGACACGATTCTACTCATGGCTTTGCTGTGCAGCAAAACAGTGATTTGCCATCATTCCAAAGGTCCCAAAATGTTAAAAGGCAAGACCTGAGGCAAAAATGAAACTCACAGGAAGGGAGGGCCTGTCATGGCACCATAATAGGTCACTGTCCTAGAGGACAAATTTCAAATCAGTAAATGATCCTTGGTGCCTCCAGGTGTCAGCTGTATGCCCACCTGCCCAGGTGCTGCTACATGGAGCATTAGTAGTGACTGTTTGTGCAGGGGCAGGCTGAGCCTGAGCAAGCATCACCACAGATGCACCTCAGAGAGGGGGCAGTGGGCTCCAGAAGCCAGTGTGGGCATGTGCTTCCTATTCCAGCCTCTTTGGATGGTGTTTTCTCCCCACCTCCCTTCCCAGCCCACTTGCTCACATACCATCAGATGCTTTCTCTGGGCACAGTAAGATTGGCTGGCCTTCGAAGAGGTCAATAACTCTACACTTCCTAAAAGTTTTATCTAAACAGTCACCAATAGTTCTGGCCAATATTTGATGCAAATCTGATGTGTGGGGTAGGTCTTTGACCAAGGCTGTAGGGATGCGGTAAGGAGCAAAACATTTTCATTCAGTTCTCAACCCGACAAGAGAAATACTGTTGAGACCAACTTTACACCTGAAAACTGGGGCATGGAGCAATAAAGAAATTTGTGTAAGGCTACAACTAGTAAATGGTAGAGACAGAATCGGAGTCCAGGTTGGCCTGGACCACACGAGGCCTCCATGAAGAGAAAAGACACTGGCCTGACTTCAGTGGTGGCAAGCAGATGTCTCACTAAGCCATCCCTCTAACCTGAGAAGTGGTAGCATAAGGCTGAGGAGGGGGGAGAGGGGACACAACAGCTGTGCCAGTTAGTGGTGGATTAAAGCACTGAACCAGAAGTACCTGGGATAAAGCATGGATACCAGTTGCCTTGGACTTGACCACATTTCGAGTCCACTGTAGGGTTCAAGAGATCTACTGGCTCCGGGTTTCACACAGGTCTGCCTTGCTGATAAATGTTTTGGAGTTTTTGTGTATTTGGCTGGAAATAAGCAAAAAATAAATGAGCCAAACCCCTTATTGTATAAACCAGAAAATCCTGGAGACTTAGTCTGGGGGGCTCAGGATGAGAAAGCAAATTGTGGCCTCTGAATGCCGCTCCCGTGGATGCCAGCACCTCTTGTTCCTGAGTTAACACCAGAGCTGGATGGAGGCTGGTGAGCTTGGGGTCTTGGGGGCCATGGGGTCCTAGAGTGGGCTCTCCTGGGAGCCTTTCTGCTCCTCAGATAGAGTGGGGTCTCCTGCCTTGGGGCTTCCATTGTAGCCCTGCACGCTGGCCTTTTTTCGTAACTGAAGCTGTATCCATCCTGGGGATGTGGGTACCCTAAGGGCAGGGCAGGCCTCTCCCCAGTGCCTGGCACTGGGCCAGAACCCTAAGGGCAGCTCCACACTGTGAGTAGGGGCCTGAGCCCAGACTGCAGAAGGACAAGACAAAGGCAGGCCCGGCAGGCAGCCTGGCAGCCACAGGAGAGCTCCGGATACCCTCCAGCACTGGCAGGGCAGCTGTTAAGCCCTGGCTCCATGGGCACATATCAGCGCCAGTCCCCGCAGCCCCCTTCCTTGGGGTCCAGCACTCCGACCTGGCCAACCCACAGCCAGAGCACGCTGGGCAGAGCTTCTTGCCAAGGAAGGCTCTTGCCATTTCTAAGCAGGTGCTCTGGCTCTGTAGGAAAGAGGGAAGCTTCTCTGTGGATATGTGGGGGAGGGAGGGAGAAAGGGAAGGCCTGTTCATGCAGGTGGCAGCAGGGCGTTTTGAGTCGCTCCAGAACTAGCCTGGGGACTTGGGGTGGGAAATGGGTTGGGCAGATGGAGTAGAGAAGTCCACTTGTTGCCAGGTAAGTTTGGTGGAGGATAAACAAGCAATTCTGCCTAAAGAGTCACAGTAAAGAGCCCTTGGTACAAGATCCTATGGGATCTAAGGGGAGGAGCCGAAGTCAGCATGCAGTATTGGGAATGCTTCCAGAGACAGACACCTCTAATATTTTTGAAGGCTGCCACGGGGTCTGTGGGTGGACAGGGAAAGGGCATTCCAACCAAGACACATGCATAAGCATGAGAGAGTAGGTGGGTGCATGGATGGGTGAAGTTGGGGCTGGTGAGATCCAGGAGCCAACAAACAAAGCTCCTGCCAGTAATACCCACATGAGAATCCTGTGCCCAGAGGCAGTTTGGAGGACTAAGAAGTCCACAGTTGCGTCACTGCCTTCCTCTCCTGGGTCCTAAGCCTCTTCTTGGCACCTCCAGAAAAGGTGAAAACAAACGGCTGCCCAGGACACCTATCTAGGGTGGAGGCCTCTTCCCCACTACCCCAGGGGCCAGGCCATGGCCCTGAGGTTTCTTCTGTCCCCCTGCAGAACAGCACCATAACCCACCTTAAATTACAACTCGGTACATACCCACAGAAGCAGCATTTCTCAAAACCTAAGCTACCCTCGGCTTGTATAAAGCACTCTAATTTTTATTTTCTATCCTGTCCTTTTTTTTTTTTTTTCAATGCTTGTCTCAACCCACAAAATTGCTTTTATAACCCATGAGTGAATTGTACCTGCAGTTTGGAAACACTGCCCTGGAAAGGCATCTGCCTGCTCTTCTCCAGCCCCTCTTCCTGGAAGGAACACCGAAATGAGGGCGCCTGCGTCCTGGTGAAGGTCAGTGGTGGGCAGGCCAAGCTGGGCCGCCGGAGCTGCTCGAGGGCACCACTCCGCCCCATAGGCTGTGCCTGCGGGCCGGGGAGTGGGTACTCTGGTGCTCGAGGACCTCCAAGCGAGGTGAACTGCAGAGGGACCCAGGAGGGTGCAAGGATGCTGGCTGGAAGTCGCAGAGGGCCAGGTTCAAATCCTGCCTCTGCTATTTATTGGCTCCCAGACCTTGGATCTGTGAATTAACCTTTGAGCCTCCGACTCCTCCTGCCTAAGCCTGGTATAATAGTCTCTCCCTCGCAGTGTTGCTGTGTGGATTCAGGGTTATTTAATGACCCCAGCAGAGCTCTGGAACATTTGTGGAGCTGGCAGGGCAAGGTGAGGGACAGCCCAACGAAGGCAGGTCCCTGAAGTCCTGGTTAACACGGGTTTCCAAAATTCGAGCCAGCCTGTGGTTTCTCCAGCTCGCCTGAAAGCTGGGGACACTGCATGCACCAGGTAGTCATTCCTGCACACCCCGCGCCCGCCCCACGAACTTGAGGGTCCATAGTTCGCCCCACTTCCTCCCCATCCCTCCAGCCAGCTCCAGCTCATCCTCCCAGTCTGGCTCGGCGCGCAGACTCCACAGCACCTTTCAGCAAGGCCCGGGACCTTGCGATGCACCAGTCGGCTCCTGTCCTCCTCCCCAGTCGTGCGTTCCTCAGGGGCAGGGTGAGCCCAGCAGTGTGTGTGTGTGTGTGTGTGTGTGTGTGTGTGTGCGCGCGCGCTGGGGACAGGGGCGTGCAAAACCCCCGTGAGCCCGCCTTCCGTCCACCCTCAGGCTGCAGGCCCCCGCGGCTCTTAACAGCTGGTGTCCTGCTGGACACACCCCGCCTCGCGGAAACGGCCTTGGCATGAAGGCCCTGGCGACCCCCAGGCAGGGCAACGGGCCCTCGCCCCTCTCACCCCCGCCTGCGCGAGACCCCGCGGGAGGACGCAGACAAAGGCTGTTGGCCGCACTGCCTGGCCCCACGCCGCGGGGCGGCCGCGTGGCCGGGAAGGCGCGGCTGGCGGGGAGCCTGCGGGTGCAGAACAAGCGGCCGCCCGCTGCCTGCCATGGCCCGTAGGGACCGCCCACCCCGCCGGGGAGACTTGGGGGCGGCACCGACGTCGCTGTGAGGTGGCCTGAGGGCGGGGCGGGTGTGGGGCGACTGCCGAGGGCACAGTCGCCTCCTGGTCTCAGGGCCCGCGACAGACCCCGGTCCTCCCTCCCGGGATACCGGGTGCCAGCTGCGGAGACCTCTCGCCTCTGCTGCACCCCGCAGCTACAGAGGGGGCCCCCGGGAAAGAGAAGAAAACCAGCGGCCACCCAGGACGACCGTTCTGCAGGTGGCTTCAGAAAGTGCTCCCAAGCCCCAAGGAGATTGCGGTGCCTGAGGCAAAGGTGGTGCCACTTTCTGCTCCGTGTAGTCCCAGGGTCAGGGGCCTTCTGTGAACCACGGTAGGGACATAAGTTAGACACTGGGAAAACCCACACCTTTGCACATGGCTGTTTTGGTTTCTGTGCCTGAGTCACTTGGCCCTTGCTGTAGCTTCCTACTCGTTTTACAAAGCCCTGCTTGTGCTCACCTGTCCGGTTGGCGCCCTTGCCAACCACCTGGCCAACCACGAATCATGGCCCCAGGCTGTCCACAGGCTACACCGGCTGCAGCCCCCCTTGCAGCACACCCTGCCTTGGCTCTGTAATATGTGTGTGCCTCCCCCTAGGCTGGGGCCCCTTGAGGCTGCTGGTCTCTCATGTCCGGGGGCTCTTGCCTGGCCTAGGCCTGGCTCCTGGTTAATAAGCTCTCAGTAAGAAGGTTCTGATGGCCCAGGCACTAGGGCGCAGGCCAGCACTTTGGTAGGCCGAGGCGGGCGGATCACATGTCAGGAGTTCGAGACCAGCCTGGCCAACACAGTTAAACCCTGTCTCTACTAAAAATACAAAAAATAGCCAGACATAGTGGCAGGTGCCTGTAGTCTCAGCTACTCGGGAGGCTGGGGAAGGAGAATCACTTGAACTCAGGAATCGGAGGTTGCAGTGAGCTGAGATTATGCCATTGCACTCCAGCCTGGGTAACAGAGTGAGACACTAGGTTCTGATGCTCCAGTGTGTGAGTGAGGCAGGGCTGCCCCAGGCCTTCAAGGTCAGCAGCTCTCCAGGCAGGCAGATGCAGGCAATTGGGGAAGGTCAAACAGGAGGCTGGAGAAACCAAAGCCCCCTCCCATCCACACAAGGCAGGGCCTGCACATCAGGCTGCCCCAGGGAAGAGCTGGGATGCCAGCGCCTTTCCTCCTTGGAATTAGGTCACCGTCCAGAGGCCTGGGAGCCTCCGGTGTCCTGTGTGCCTCTTGCCCCTCCCCTAGCAGCAATCCTTTTCTGGCATGGGGAGGCAGCTGCAGTGGGAAAAGGGGCCCCGAGTCAGAGGGGCAGGATTGCATGCCCTGTCAGTGCTGCTGAACTTGGTTCCCCGTCTATGCAAAATGAAGACAATGAGCAGGACACACCTGGCAGGACTATTTAAGGACTAAGTATGTCATCAGCCTGGGAGGTGATATGCCTGAGCCTTTTCCTGTCCTCCCAGCCCCAGCCACCCCCTTCCACCTCCTCCCACCTAGGAAGGCAAGTTGTCCTTGCCATACAGAGAAAAATGGAGCTGTCTTTGGCCCCCAGGAGCTTTTTTCAACATGAGATTTCTCCAGTTTTGTGACCATAGGCCAAGAATTGCAGTATAGGAGGAGCCAGGGTTTCCCCACACTGGAGGTTTCTTGCTGTGGGGTCATTTCTACACTTTGAGGTGTGCCAGTGCCCTCTTCACAGCCTGAAGCCCCAAGCACTTGTTCCTCTGGCCCCTCTGCTCACCTGTCAGAGCTCCCTCATTCCTCCTTCACCCGCCTACCCTATGGGGCTCAGCGCCTCCCTCTCCCCGCATGGGCATCATGAAGACAGGGACCTGGCTCCTGCTGCAAAGGCCCTGGGCAGGGAACATACCCCAAACACTGCACAGGACTGCCTCCCCACCCCCACGACCTTCTCCCTGGGCCACAGGCCTGCTTCAGTGTCCTTGTCCAATGAAAGCTGCCCTGACACTCATTTAAACCCGATTCTGCTGAAGGTTGGGTTTCTTGTTTCCAGGCCTTTTTTTTTTTTTAAACCACAGCTGGCACCCTGGCCAGTTCTAAAGCAGCCCTGAACTTCCTATTACACTCCTCAGTTGTGCCCAGCTAGGGTCCCTTGGCTTCTTCTCTCCTGATCATAAACCTTGCCCAGGGCTTTTCTTCTGCCAAAGGACAGTCTGGAGGCTTCTGCATCTACCCTGGCTATCACCCTAACCCGGGGCCTCCCCCACCTTTCCTCTCGCATGCCCACCACCAGCACCCGTGCCTTCCCCCACTCCCCAGTCCTGCCCGTGGCTAGTGAGGGTCAAGTGAGTGTCGAGCCCAGAATTTTGCAACTCAGAGTGAGAGAAGCTTCAGCTTTGCTTTTTAATAAGTTAAGACTGACACATGGCCATCCACTCCCAAAGAGTCCCAGCCCTCCAGGCAGCACTGAGGCCCAGGCAGATGGCCCATCCCTGCTCTCCGCAGCCTCCCTGCTGCCCACCCACCCACATGCCCACCGACAGCACTGCCAGGACGTCTGGGCAGAAAGCATGCAGCTGTGTGACAGCCAGGCACCCGCTGCAGCCCTGTCTCCAAGCTGGACAGAAGAACTAAGATGGAGGCTGCCACAGGCCAGGCTGCAGCAGAGGCAGCGGCTAGGGTGGCGTGGGGCTGGTCTGGCTGGTCCCACTGGCTGGATCCTGGCTACCACAGTAGCATGTCCTGAAATCAGTTTTGTTGTTGTTTTCAACTTTATGTATAAAACAAATTTCCTAGAAATTTTTAATATTCTGGCTACCAGATAACATCTCCCAGATGTTCCCACACCCAGAAGGGGCATAAAACTCCTGTCAGATGACACATTCCAATTTTGGTTTGGCATATATGGTCAATGGCTGTAAGGCTGGTACTCCAGGACACTCTGCCCATTGCTGGATAAAGGGCAAAGGCAGTGAATGGAGTAGGGAGGAACGTGGCTGAAAAAGGGAAGGGTCAAGGCCAATATGGACATGTGCTTTCTTTGGTTCCACAGTGTTGGAGGCTGGGGTAGCCTTTCACCAGGAGTGGGACCCGGAGGTGAGGCCAGCTCTCAGACATCAACCAAAGGACCCACTGCATCTCCCTCCTTCGCCTGCCAACAAAGGTTCAAGTAGATGTTGACACCCCCTCAGACATGGAAGGAGATCCATGTTTTTCTTTTTCTAGTTCTGCACAAATGGCCTTAAACAAAATACGCAAACAGGTTCCTTGCCTCTCCCGAAGGCAGCCCACCACAGAAGCCCTGCCACAGCCCAAGAGGTTAGATGCTGCCAGGATCTGTTTCCGCCACAGAGCAGCTCTGTGCAGCACATTCCTGCCAACCACCCCAAGTGCTTCAGGGCTTCCGAGGCAGTGACAGTGAGGGCAGCGGCACTTCTGGGTCACCGTGGGACAGGTCTCTGCCTCAAGACACGGATTGACAAGCTCTCTGAGTGGGCCAGGAGCTCCTTAATGTGAGCCAAGCCCAGCCCTGCCACCTTGGCCCCATTCATCTCCAGGATCTCGTCGCCCACCCCCAGCAGCCCTGAGTACAGCTTGGCCGTGCTCATGTCAGCCATCTCCTGCACGTAGATCCCTGCAAAGGAAAACGGGAGAATTTCACAATGACACCCAAATCGAAGAAGTGCATCTCTGGAACGCTGACCATGTTGGTGAGGTGCTGTTTGTGTGGCACAGGGAGGAGGTGCTCATAGCGGGCACTTCTCTTCACACATGCACACACACACACACACACATACCCCTCATTATTCCACCTCACAGCCGCAGCTGGCTTTAGACAGTGCGCCTCCTCCACAGTCTAACTTCATTCCACTGTCTCTGCTTGTAAAGTGGAAATGCTCCTAGTGCAAATAACGCGTTAAATTGTTGTTATTTGTTTATACCTGACTGTGAGTGAGCTAATCTTTTTCTGAGATGAGCTTTGCTTGTAGAATAGGAAGGAAATAGTTTTTAAAAATTAGGAACCATACCTCCTCGGTGCCTGGCACTATGATCCAGTTGCTGCCTCACGTCGCCCAGGCCCAGCAGAAAGGCCGGGGTGGTGGGAAGGTATCATCGGAAAAGCAAAAGTGGCTGAGCCACATCCAAGCCTGGTTTGCTGCACTCTATTGCCAAAGAGTGACCCTGGCCTCAGTCTTACTCAGATATGGTTCCTCAATTGGGATGGGAAAACATCTGAGCAAAAAAACCCAGGAAAAATAAAAATTCTAGCCACATATTTCAAAGCTCCGGCGGCTCCCTCTCCTCTTCTGCACATGTCCCCTCCTCCCCACCCCAAAGAGGCCCTGCCTGGGTCTAGAAGGTGCCAAGAGTCAGCCTGGAGGAACCAGCTTCTCTGTTTCTTTCCCAAGCTCCAGCTCTCAGGGAGCCCCCTGTCAGTGGGGCAGGCCCTGTGGGGCTTGGGCTGGCTGGGCTGGCTCCCTCTGGCATCTCTGGGAAGCGTCCAGCTGAGGAGGCCCCCCTCGCCCCCATCCCCCCCACCGGCTCAGCTGTGGCTGGAAACCTTTCAAATTCCCCTCCAGCTGCTCCCACCTGGGAGAAAGTAAGTGAGGTGCTGGCTCTTCCAGGGCAGGCTGGAGCCCCTGATGCCCATGCTCCGTGCTGGGTGGACACAGGGGCTGAGACACAGGCTGAGTTTGCTGGAGGACTGCAGGACACACCCCTGGCATGGGCATCAGCACTGGCGGAATTCAGGCTGCTCAGCGCAGCCTTTGGCACCCTCGCTGTTCCAAGCCCAGCTCGGCTCACTCTGCATTTCAAACATGAGGCCACTGCCCACGAGTTACTGTCTCCACTTCCTTTTCCTCCAATCGGGTTCCTAGCAGGGGCCCGAAGGGGCATCAGGTCTGCTCCTCAATCTCTGGCTTGAAACTAGTCACCACATCTTGGACTAGTGGGAAGTCCTCTCTCGGGTCCCCCCAGCCTCTGGCCCTGACAGAAGTCAGGCATTTTAAAGCCTGCCTCTGAAATGCGGCTTTGAAAGAGCACTGATCTTCACCGAGGCACCTGAAAGTCTGTGGCTCTGAATTTAGCAAATCCAATCTTTGCACACATTCCCCACCCCCGGTCGGAGGTATAGAATCCCTTTTGTTGCTTCTTGGCCAAGCCGAGCCTTTTCGGCGGGGCTGTCTTCCCTGACGGTACGTCTGCCATCCTGACTGTACAAGGCGTTTTCCCTCAACCCTGTCTTTTACCTCCTCTAGCTGGACTGCTTGCCCTCCCTGTCTACGGGTTGGTGGCACGGGGAGAGGGCAGGTAAGAAGGGGCCCCTGGGGCAAACCCAGAGACGTGTCTGATGTGCTGTGGGAGTTGCAGGTGGGGACTAATGATAAACCCTGAAAGAATGCAGCCAGAGCTAGGCCAGACACTGACGTCACTCCTGCCATTTTGGGGAGACTCGTGTAGATTTCGCGACTGAAATTCGTGACACAAATATGACAGCCTGCTGTCGTAGGCATTTATTGTCTGCTGGAAATGGCCTTTGTTGAGGATGTGTCATCTCTATGTTGTATCCAATTAGAAGCAGAAGGCAAAGCCCGCTGTTCTCACAGACTCATGTAGAGTCAGATGTGAAAGCCAGCAAGTTACTACCAGCGTCCTGCCGGTTCAGCGCAGGGCACAAGCCAGCCGTCTTCACAGCCCCTCGGAGCCTGGAAGAAGTGACCCTCTGCTGTTGGAGGATGGCCTGGGGAACGGAGGCCCCAGCACTCGCCAGGCTTCATGTGCGTGGGGACCCCTGTGTGCCATCCAGTGACCCATGACGGCAGCAGGACCAGGGAATGCTTGGGCAGAACAGGGAGCTGGCACCAACTCAGGCAAGGGTGCCGGGGACCGTGGGTCACTAGAGACCCCTGCCCATCAGAGCTCCCAGACGGGTGACGGGGAGGGGCTCCCACTGCCTACAAGGGAGCCAAAAGGGACTCTGGGGGATGGTGGGGGGCAGAGTACAATGCCCTGTTGTGTGTGCACTCACATCGACAGGGGAACGCAGATCACACTGGTCCCTGTCTGGGGTTTTCTTCCCCAGACCACCTCTTTCTGAAGGGGAGGGAAGAAAAATGCTAGGCCCTTTCCTGTGTGCCTTATCAAATGCTCCTTATGACTCTTCTAGGTAGGTTTTGTCATCCTCATTTCACAGATTAGGGAACTGAGGCTCAGCAGGGATGTCGCCCGCTCTAGGTCACACAGCCAGCAGAGGTGCCGGAGCACAAACATGCTGGGTTGTCTGCCTCCGCCTTCACACACCTGTCCGGGGGCCTGTCCTGCTCGCCTAACGGGAGAGGAGGCTACGGGAAGGCCTGTGAGGAAGGACGTTTTATCCTCCTGAGGTCCAGAGTGGGCAGAAACCTGTCCTCTCTTCCTCTTACACACATGTCCAGCTCATCAGCAGAGTCAAATCAACCAGAATCCAACCTTCTCCCCTCTCCCCATCTCCACAGCCATTCCCAGCCCAAGTACTACCATCTCTGTCCCGGACTGCTGAAATAGCTTCAACACAGGGCTCCCTGGCTCCACCTGTGTCCCTCTGGGGTCTATTCGCATAGACATTAGAGAGCCTCAGTGCTCGCTCCGAGCCCTCTAGTGGCTCCCATCTCATTCGGCATGAAAGCCAAAGCCCCTTACAGTGGCACAACCCCATCTTTCCAAACTGCTCCTCCCAACCCCTTGCCTGCTCTGCGGTGTCCAACCTGACCTCCTCACAGTTCTCACAGGCCAGGCTCACCCCTCCACGAGGGCTCTGCACTTGCTGTTCAATCTGCCGGAATGCTCTTCCCCAGACACCCGCAGGGCCCCTCCTTTGCCCCATCCACGGCCCTGCTCAAGTGTCATCTTCTCAGAAAAGCCTCCCCACACTCCTGTCTATACCAGCATCTGCCACACCTGCTTTATCTGTATGTTTCTCAGAACTTCCTTTTCACCATCTGACATACGTAGCACATTATACATAACAAGAGTACACATTTTATAGATACCATCTAACTGCTCACTGGGTAGTATATTCATGAGGACAGGGATTTGGTCTGTTCCACTTACTGCTGTATCCCCCGTATCTATGACACATAGTAGGTGCTTAGTATATATTTGCTGAAACAATTGATGGAACAGACATGGGAACTCATGCTGCGGTCTGCAAATGTGGCGGCAGCAGACTTTTTTCCAGGCTAAACAGCATGGACCTAGGAGATCAAAGCATAGGACTCAACCCCCCATTGGCAGAGCCCAGCTGCAGCAGGCTTCCGTGCGCGTCTTTCTGTATCTGTCTCTCCCTTTCTCTCTTCCTCCCTCCCCTCCTCTCCTTGCCCACCCTCGCATACCTGTCTTCCCTGCTCCTCTGGGGAATGTCTTTCTTTTATGGGCCCTTGCCCTGAGATGCATTCTGGACCACAGACCTTGGGTGTGGGCCTTGGCAAGTCACGTTGCCCTGAAAGACTCATGGATGGGGCGGAACTGAGAACTGGCCAGAGTGCAGAATGATGTCCAGGACTCCTCCCTGCCCTTGCCTGCGTTGAATTGAGACCCAGAGCACACCCCAGCCAGAAGCCTGCAGCCAGGATTCATCTGAACATAATCCTCAGGCATAGGCCTGAGGGAGGGACAGGATGCAGAGACAGACAGGCACGCTCCACCTGCCCAGACATACTCCACAGCCGGAGGAAAGGAACCGTTTCAACGCAGCCACATCAAAGGGACTGCTGAGAACCGGCAGGCACAGACAGTTTCCCTCTGGCTCTCCTCTGCTAAGATGGCCTTCAAAATTCTAATTTCTTTCTTTTTTTTTTTCCTTTGAGATGAAGTTTTGCTCTTGTTGCCCAGGCTGGAGTACAATGGCGCAATCTTGGCTCACTGCAACCTCCACCTCCTGGGTTCGAGCAATTCTCCTGCCTCAGCCTCCTGAGTAGCTGGGATTACAGGCATGCACCACCACGCCCAACTAATTTTGTATTTTTAGTAGACATGGGGTTTCACCATGTGGGCCGGACTGGTCTCGAACTCCTAACCTCAGGTGATCCGGGCGCCTCAGCCTCCCAAAGTGCTGGGATTACAGGCGTGAGCCACCGCGCCTGCCTAAGATTCTAATTTCAAGATATCATCAGACAGCAGGGGGACAGTGGAGTCAAACCTGCCAACTCTACCCCCTCCCGTACACTCCCCACCAACGCCCTCTGAGCTGCAGCTGCCCAGGGCAAAGGCTCTGCAGGTGCAGACTCCTAGACAGCCCTAGACAATTCAGAAAGAGCCCCTGAGGGGAGAAGCCTAGTCCTGTGGTCAGGGGCTTTCTGAATTCCCAGAGCTCCACGGCTCAGCCAAGGACCAGAAAAGCCTCTGACACAGCCAGAAGGCCCTGCCGTGGTTTGCTGAGGCTGCCCCGGCTATGGGGCTGAGGAAGGGGAGAGGGCATACCTGAGTCTGGGCGCCCATTCCCAGAGGCCACGCAGAAGCCGAAAGTGCCCCCCGGGGAGCGCTGCAGCTGCAGCTGGCTCGTGCCGTCCGGGAACACCTCCACCAGGCGGCCCACGGTGCGAGCCAGGCTGGGAGCACCCACGTCCTCCACGCTGAGGGCACGCTGTGGTGAAGCCTTGGCTGGCCTGCGAGGGAACCAGAGACACAGTGAGGGCAAAAAGCGTCAGGCACTGGGCACAACTCTTCCCTAGCTTACAGATGACTGATGCCTCATGGACATCCAACACCAGAGTCTGGCATTGGAGGCTGGGGTTCTGCTGACCTCAACCAGCAAAGAGAACCTGCTAGGGCCAAAACTGGTGCGTTTCCACGGCTGTGCAAGGCCCCCCAGAGCCTGCTGTGGAACTAGAAACCCCACCCTCCCAAAGCAGTGGTTTCAAATTTGGGGGGGTACAGAGACCTTTGTAAGAATCTGACAAAAGGTATAAGTTGATGTCACATTTCCAGGAGCTAACATACACCCCGAAGTGCATCCATGCCCCAGGAAAGAGCAGCCAGCCTACAGGGCCTCGTCAGACAGGGCGGGATGTTTCCAAGCAGGTCATGCGTCCTGGGCCTTTCTGGGGGTCTCTGTCTCCACATGTTTATTTGGATCTTTAGCTGGGTTAAGAAAGCTGTCTAAACTTTCTGATTTCAAGATGTCACTGGACAGCAGAGGGACAGTGGACTCAAACCGGCCAACTCTACCCTCTCCGGCAACCCAGGCCTTCTCAGAGCCCAGTGCACCGAGGGTCGGGGCAGGACACTGAGGTGC